ACCATGAGCACCACATCGTGACTTTTGCTTTCAGCCTCATTACTGAACATGAGCCCACGACGCCAGTCGTCAGCCATATTATGGGTGGCAAATTCCAGGTGAAGTTCCATGGTCGCATTGCTGCAGCCATTACACTGCGCGGGCTGAAGTTAATGATTTTTATCATTGTTCTCACTCAGAAAAAAGAGACCGCAAGTTTTCGGAGCATTGCCTCTCATCGTTGTTCATTTTTCAATTTTGAAATCGTTAGAAGACGATGAAAAAAGAGCAAGCAAGAGTTTTTCACCGAATGGTAAGTCAAAAGCTGGAATATTTGAAGGTTAGAACCTTCGGTACTATCTGAAATCAAATAAAAACAACAAACACAGAATTCGCAGGACGAACTGCGTCCAAAAACAGTAGGTAACAAACAAAGAAAGCGAAAATACGTATCATATTTCAACTAAATCCTTATTCTCCCAGTTTGCTTTGATACCTCCATTCCCCAAAATATGGAAATTGCCTCCTTCATGAAACGTTTCCGGACCGCGCCCTATTGCCGTGACGGGCGCGTGTGGCCGACGCCTTTTTGTGCTCACCGCAACGTGCTGCGCGGCGAGCACAAGTATCATATATTCAACATGTATTTCCAATGAAACCATTATTTTATCTTATTTTTGTACTTTTCGTGTCTAAATGTACCCACTAATTAAAGTGATAGCGCCATAAAAAGAAGGGAGTAATGAAAATTATTCAAAATAAGTTGCAGTGGGAAGAAAGGAAGTGTCAACTCTTGGTTTCAATTTCAATAGTATCAGATTCGGAACGCAGGATATCTTAAAAATTCTTTCGTGAGTGTTTCGAAGGGAAGTATAACATTTTTTTTAGCACAAAGTGAAAGTTCATTTGCAATTAATTTAGGAAATCCTTTGAGATCATAGTCTAGGTTTTTCATACGTGCTACATGAGTATGTTACATAGATATGTAACAACATGAAACATTTTGTCGAAAAACGAATCCTCGAAAAATCGCTTCTTGAAGTCTCTGACAGCCCATGGGTGTGGGGTGGTCCGGAAAAGACAGGAGGTTCGTGATTCGAGCGTTCTAAGACAAAAGTGTACAGCGGTGGGAGGGGAGGGGGTGGGACAGTAAAACGAAGTCGGTTCCCTCCACATTTGTAACGGAATCAAGTACAATTTGCTTGATTCATGTCATGGTATCAACTGAATATTGAAAAGCACGTTCCCCACCATCAAAGGCTTCATCGTAGCTTCACAAGAATGCTGGGTTGTGAACAAAACTTTCGCCCCAGGCGGGACTAGAACCCGCACCTCTCGCTTTCCGGGCAAGTGCGCTACCAGTTACCATTTCATTCCAACTCAGCTTTTCATGGTATACATACAGTACTCGCCGTAAAAACTGCAAAATTCACGCGAAAAACGCGATTTCGCGTTTTTTTTTCGTTTTTTCGTTATAACTCGGTTTAAAATTAAGATTTTCAAAATCTGAAAAAGCATTGAACTCAGCTCGTCGAGTTCTATAAGAATGTCCTAAAGTTTTCTAGCGGCACTACACTGGATTGCGCCATGCACTCGATTTTCATCTCAAAAAGTAGTTGCTCGCATGTGATGTGTATATAATCCCGCTTATGCGGGCTGACCGCTACACACAAAGAAGGGCCTCAAAACTTACCCCAGAATGCGCCACGTACTCAATCTCATCCACTACATTGTGAGATTAGATGAATGTTATTTTCCGAATTCTTAGATCTTCATTTCGTTTTTAAGCGCTTACTGGCTTTACGTGTTCCCTCTGCTCTCAATATCCCATCCTCTGTATATCAAGTGGAATCTTTGAACAGTTCTCAGCAGGCATAGTGGGCCTATTATGTGACATTTTCCATTTTCAGAGGATGTTTTGCAGAAAGCTGTGAAGATAGCGAACAATTTCCTTCACTGTCGTAGACTACGGTCACTTGTCTGTAGGAATTATGTGGAAAACTTGGTCGCAAGTGAGCGTTCCTTCCGTGGTGTGGCCCCAAACATCACTCCTCGTCATGCCCTTGTGAAATGATCAGATTTTTTGCTTTTCCAGATGAACTTAGGAACTGAGATGTGCACCATTCGATTCCCCATGAAAAATACTATCGAACGGTATACAACACAGTCCACTACTGAAAATTTGTTTTTTCACCGTTTTCGGCCTTCTCCCTATTGCCGATCGCCTTCCCCAGCCCTAGGCGGCCACGTGCGATTCACGTGCGCGGTGCGTGACGCCGTTCCCACGCTCGTGCAACAGCCATAGCGACGTATCGATCGGGCCCAACTACGGCCGGTGGCCGGTCATCACGCGACCTCTCACGCACCGCGCACTTGGTATACCGTTCGACAGTATTTTTATGGGGAATCGAATGGTGCACATCTCAGTTTCTATGTTCATCTGGAAATGCAAAAAATCTGATCATTCCACAAGGGCATGACGAGGAGGTGATGTTTGGGGCCACACCACGGAAGGAACGCTCACCTGCGACCAAGTTTTCCACATAATTCCTACAGACAAGTGACCATAGTCTACGCAGTGAAGAAAAAAAATGGAAAATGTCACATAATAGGCCCACTATGCCTGCTGAGAACTGTTCAAAGATTCCACTTGATATACAGAGGATGGGATATTGAGAGCAGAGGGAACACGTAAAGCCAGTAAGCGCTTAAAAACGAAATGAAGATCTAAGAATTCGGAAAATAACATTCATCTAATCTCACAATGTAGTGGATGAGATTGAGTACGTGGCGCATTCTGGGGTAAGTTTTGAGGCCCTTCTTTGTGTGTAGCGGTCAGCCCGCATAAGCGGGATTATATACACATCACATGCGAGCAACTACTTTTTGAGATGAAAATGAGTGCATGGCGCAATCCAAGTAGTGCCGCTAGAAAACTTTAGGACAGATTCTTATAGAACTCGACGAGCTGAGTTCAAGGCTGTTTTCAGATTTTGAAAATCTTAATTTTAAACCGAGTTATAACGAAAAAACGAAAAAAACGCGAAATCGCGTTTTTCGCGTGAATTTTGCAGTTTTTACGGCGAGTACCGTATACAAGCGAGAGGTGCGGGTTCTAGTCCCGCCTGGGGCGAAAGTTTTGTTCACAACCCAGCATTCTTGTGAAACATTCGCAACGCGAACTGCGGCGTTAAAACAGCAGTTAACAAACAAAACAAGCTTTGTCATAGCCTTCTATCCTGACGTTATAGATTCTCTTTCACGGGGAACATGGTTCTAATTTCAAACTCAACGAGGTCCTCGGCAGATCGTGGGTGATTGGTAATTAAGACCTTATTTGAAGCACTGGTTGGAGGTTGATTCAATGTCATGGCTACTATCCCTGAGATGCTACCCATCAGCTAACCGAGTAAAGAAGTTATGAGCAGCTTCGGATCAAAGCGAATGCGGTAGACCCTTTGAGCTAGATTAGTGAAAAATGACCTGTTTCTGCTCCTCGGGGAAGCTTGAGGAATATTTTCCCGTAAAAATTCCGTTAAGTGGCACCCTGTGTGATGAAAACAATGATGTGCGTTATGGGCTAAGCAACAATTTTTGACCCTCCCCCCCTATGTGTCGGGGATATTTTTACAAAGCATAGGTTAGGTGTACAAGCCTGTTTGTTCTGTAGACTGGAAATATGTTCATATTTGTTTTATTTATTTTCAACCTTTAATTTCATTACTGCTTGTGACGATAAACTCCAATATGTTTTATAAAAAATGATTTGTGATTGATCAATTTCTAATAAAACGAATTTCCGTAGATTCTGCATGAAAATGCCAACACTATCACAGAGAACTGAGCGGAAATGTTGCTGAACATTTCAGTGTTTTTTACGGCGCGTGTCAATTTGTAGCGCTATTTTAATCGACTTAATATCCGGAAATTGGAATGGAATTCTTGGCTTGCTGATCTGTTTTTGTTCCTCTTCATCCGATGAGCTGCTGCTACTTCTGTGGCGACCTCGATCTCTGCGGGCTACCTCACGGCTGTTTCGGGGGATGATGACATAATTGTCCTTATCCCGCTTTCGACTGGATGATGAGGCTCCGTCTTTCGTTCTGGATCTTGACCGATGCTTATGCTTGCGAGTTTTCTTGTCTTTCTTCTTCCTGAAACTTAACGACTTGTGAATAAGACGAAATGTCAGTAATAATCTCGAATCGTACTCTTTTCCCTTTTTGCTCGACTTTTTCTTCTTTTTTCTTTTATCATTATCATCGCTGGATGACGAAGACGAGGATGAAGATGACGATTCATCTGAAATACAATTTCTGAACTATGGGAGAAATGCAGTTCGTGTTCTATAGCCCACAATAAAGTGAAGAAATACATACCCTCTTCTTCAAAAAGCGAGAAAGTGTCGGGTGCAGACCATGCACCACAAGTGACGACGGCCTTCACAAAATGTTAATGTTTTCTGCCAATGAAATGATTAGCCTGTTGCAGTTGTATTCTATCGATTGTCACTAATTACAACTATCATTTACCAGAAATCAGCTATCACTATGAACAACTTCTAACCAGATTTACTTGGAGGCCGTCGTCAGTTGTGGTGTTTGGTCTGCACCCGACGCTTTCTCGCTTTTGAAGGGGAGGTTAGCTTGGATGTACGTAAATGGTCAAACGGAATCAGGTCAATTGATGCCAAACAGTGCGAGCATGTGTCAAAACTTCCAGCCAATGGCCCTTCTTTCCTCTTCTTTCTCAACTGGGACGCACACGATTCCCCATATAGCAATTACCACATCCATCCTGACTGGATTCGCGCCTTACTTTAACCCATGCTCGCTAGTATCGGGAGGTGGGAGATTCCACTCCACCCTAAGGGAGTCTGAATGCTTAGCCGTTTGTATGATTTGGTAAGATACAGCAAAAGACGGTGAGGAGATGGAATTTCCCACAAAAGCTGAGCACCCTGCCCATACTATCAACGTGCAATGTGATCTCAAAGATTCCTTGTGATTTTTGCTTCCGTTCATTACTGATAGACCATGAGCTGAGATGTTTTCATTACCACACAAATACCCTATTCAATCGCCCGTGCCAAAAACTGACTACATTATGTAGTTGCCTAAACAATTTGTACGGGTATGCGCTACTTCCCATATGAAGCGCGATTTACGATCCCAAGGTAGCTCATCGAAATTAATGTAGAGGTGGTCAGCGGTGCCGGGATGAAGAAAAAACAGAAACGGCCTCAAACCTCGAGAAATGGGACCCCTTCCTTGCCCGTTGATTTCCGCATTGATGCGACTCTCATCGGTGCTGCCCTCTTCAACACTAACGCTCTCTCTTCTCTGCTAAGCAATCAGAAACTTGCGGCGATCTACTGGTGTGCCGCGCTGATGGCGTCGCAAGGTAGTTTACGGGCTGCTTGAACATTCGTCGATGGTCCTGCTGCGAATAGCTTGGCCACGGACAAGCAGAGAACGGCGCTTCCAAAGATGCCAAACGGGAGCTACGTGAGCCAGGAGGAGTCAGGAGTTCAGGGCTTGGGGGGGGGGGCGTGAGCCACTTCTTCATGTAGTAAAAGTTGGAACTCGCAAGGTCCTTATAGTCGTAAGCCACTATTCAAGCGAGAGGGAGCACATTGACTTCTTTCAAGGATCGAGGTCAACGACAGCTCACGATGTACTCCACAGACGGCGTTTACGGCATGCTATAGGTCGTCGCGGGGCATATGCTTAGCTGCGAACTGTGTGTCGGTCTGCACCCTGAGGGGTCCACCAGTCTTTCCACTATGTAGATCCTCCTTCTTCGAGCTTGGTTATCGTGGAATCCCACTCTAAATATGCACTATCGAAACGCGCTACGTCATGCAAGTCAGAACATAGACAGAATTTTGTTCAAAATCAGCTCCACGTGCACGATAAAAACTACCCTGTCAAGATTATCATTGTCATTACATACTGGAAGTATTTCAAAGGTACAACAGAGTTAAGAAGAAGTCCCATCACCTTTCTACAATTAATGGACACTAAGCTGTAATTGATTCCGTTTCAAATTTATTTTCAAGCTGCATGAGAACTGCTCCCTTTTTGTAGTCCGTTGGGCGAATGTTATCAAAACGAAATAGTGGATTGCTATCGATCACAATAGCGAAATGAAACAAGTTAAATTTTATAACTATGAAATTTCAAAATTATTCACCAGTTATTTACTATGCATGATATGATTATTATAACCCACTAAATTAGTTCTTTTATACTTATCCAAAACTATTGCAATTCCATGTTGATGAATTTGTTAATGAACATAAGCATAAAACCTATTTTATGAAGTTTCGAAACGTTTTATAAGTTATCAGAGCTTCGTATTTTTTGCGATTTCGTGAGATGACCCTACTGGAAAATATGATTTGGCTTCATCGCGATCTAAATGATGGTCGGAGGTGCAAAGACACGTACTGCCACTTATTAACACGCACGCAGTAAGGGGATCAAATCGTGAACCGTAGCTGTGCAGGCTAACCAAGCTTTCCACCCTCCCGGGTCGGTTAATTGGTACCAGACAACTATGGGAGGAAAAACACTGACTTGTACATCGGCTGGCCCCCGCAAGTCATTGTATAGGCCACATCGCATTCAAATGCCACTACGAATGTACAGTGGAAGTAGAATGCGTGGCGCATTCCAAAAAGGGCTGATCAACGTCACATGGCTTATCTCTTATCCTTTTATTATTTAACATAACCCTAGTTCCAGCTAGTTATCAGTACTGTGTGAGAGGAGGTTTTTCTCATAGATCGATCGAGCTGATTCATCACCACCGCTATCGATTGGAATAACTATTCACCCAGGAAAAACGTTTGTAATACTCTTTATATTCAATCCTAAAAATCATTCTAATCAAAAATTTCCAAATACCTACTCATTAAAGATATTCAAGTAATATGCCCTCAGCGCAATTTAGATAGTTGCTCTATTTGGGCCAGCCGTTTATTAAAGTACTCTCACAGCTTTTGTTCTATCATTAAAATTCATTGGCTGCTTCGAAAACAGCAGAGAAGTAGCAAACTACGTAGATCTGGTTCAAAAAGCTGTCTGTTTAGCCCGCTTTGATCCAGCGCTATGAAGGGTGGCTGCAGGAATTCTATGAGAAGTAAAATTCTCCACTAGACAAAGCGCAAACCTGACGAATCATCGGCGGCAGCTTTGGCTTCAACCTCACTGTCACTGGAACTATCAGATGAGTCTTCGGAAGAATCAGAAGAGGAAGGTTCTTGCTTCTTCTTCTTGCCCATTACAGTGAGACTTCCCCTAAAATGTATAAGCAATTCAAGCAAGTAGTAAACGCTCAGCCACGAAACGAAACTGTCACTGCGGTAATCAAGTCAATTCTAAACGATAACGAATCATCGATCATCAGAATGACGCCGGTAATGCCGTAAATATCTGAAGAGAAGCACTTTAAGAGGGCTACCCGGTGAATTTTATAGTGGAAACTGTTTAAATACGGCTTAGATAGCGGGAGGCAGGCGTGCACATATCTCTTACTTTTTACACTGCAACGTATGAGTCACGCCTGATCTCATCACTGTTTGTCTTGCTGGACCACCACTTAACACCAGCGCTTATTAGTCATACCTCCTGTGTTACCGTTAACTCCTGTTTATGAATATTCCGAATGATCTTTCTATGAAGAAGGCTTAAAATTAGCTGTATTCTCATACTTGGTGGAGGAATTCACGATAAGACCGAAAGTCAAAGAAGAGGGAAATTGCGTATTTGGGAGATACGCGAACCTCCTGAGGGTCACGGAGATCTAGCATGGCTCATTCTTGGCGCAATTGGTGTCTAATCACTCGTCGCATGTCCATACGTGGCGAGTAACTAGGTAGCACAGTGAGTGTAGAATTGAAGAGGACACAGGGATGACAGCCGCATCAATGCGCAAATCAGTGGGCAAGGAAGGGTCCCATTTTTTGGGTTCCGGGCCGTTTCAAATGGTTTCTTCTTCATCCTGCTCCACTGAACACCTCTACCATTTTTTCCAGTAAGCTAACTTTTTTCGTCGTAAATTCTACGGTTACCACTTGTACCATTTCCAATTCCATTTTGAGCCATGGGAAAGAGAAGACACGTACTTGTCGTACAGCCGAGGTGCCTGTATTCTCTGATTGCGCCATTCATTAGCTCCCATTCAGATACATTAGATTCAGAGAGATACGGACACACAGTGTCGTATTATTATTATAAATGTTATATATATATATTATTAGATATGTGATGTCATATTTGGCTTATGTGATGAGTAATGGGGCTAAGCTGCGTACATATCGGCCCATTTACCATCTCAGACGAATGCGGGACCAACCATGCAGTCCCTAGTCGTCTCAGTTGTTAGAAAAAGCTGACATGAAGATGCACAAGGGGACGAAAACTTATATAGAGCTCGTTGTAGGCAAACACCATATTCCGGCAAAGATGCAAACTTAAACCTTCACGAATTGCAGCAATTTAAGACGAAGCTACGGACGAGTGCGTGGAGTACCCTAAATAGTAAATCTATAGTGAATATTTGTTGGTACTTGTGTTGAGTACCATTAATTCAGACCCGCGTGGCACGTAGGCGAGCACATTAAAGGCAGTTCGGTGGTTAAGAGCCGACTTGAATGAAGCCTTTACGGGTGGCTTAGAAGCGTTAGGGACGCCGTGTACGATGTCGCTCACCATATCCTACATTCTAAAAAAGATGATTAAGACGCTAAAGGACAGCTTAAGAAACTTTAAACGCTCAACCTACCTTGGAAGACACGCGCCGCAACCCCGCTCGATATTTGTCTCCTCGCTAACTTAGACCTGACTCTCACCCATCATGCTGTCTCTTCTCTCTACTTCCTCCGCCTCTTCCGCTCTCCGCTCACATTATCTCTCATCTCCCTGCCGGCCTTTTGAACTTCTCCGCAGCGTAGAGCAAAAGGCTCGTATTTCCTGTGTATTTCACGATTTTTTTCCTTTTTTCTCCACTGGCGGTCCACCTCCTACCCCTACTTTCACATTTGAGTGGAATTACCTCATAATTTAACCCTGAATATTGCCTTCTAAGTACCGGAGGCATACCGAAATCGGTAAAACGAAACTTCAGTAAAACTTTGAATCGTACTCTTTTCCCTTTTTGCTCGACTTTTTCTTCTTTTTTCGTTTATCATTATCATCGCTGGATGATGAAGACGAGGATGAAGATGACGATTCATCTGAAATACAATTTCTGAACTATGGGAGAAATGCAGTTCGTGTGTCTATAGCCCACAATAAGTGAAGAAATGAACACCCTCTTCCTTCAAAAAGCGAGAAAGTGTCGGGTGCAGACCATGCACCACAAGTGACGACGGCCTTCACAAAATGTTAATGTTTTCTGCCAATGAAATGATTAGCCTGTTGCAGTTGTATTCTATCGATTGTCACTAATTACAACTATCATTTACCAGAAATCAGCTATCACTATGAACAACTTCTAACCAGATTTACTTGGAAGGCCGTCGTCAGTTGTGGTGTTTGTTCTGCACCCGACGCTTTCTCGCTTTTCGTAGGGGAGGTTAGCTTGGGATGTACGTAAATGGTCAAACGGAATCAGGTCAATTGATGCCAAACAGTGCGAGCATGTGTCAAAACTTCCAGCCAATGGCCCTTCTTTCCTCTTCTTTCTCAACTGGGACGCACACGATTCCCCATATAGCAATTACCACATCCATCCTGACTGGATTCGCGCCTTACCTTACCTTCAACCCATGCTCGCTAGTATCGGGAAGTGGGAGGGGGAGGGATTCCACTCCACTCCAAGGGAGTCTGAATGCTTAGCCGTTTGTATGGTTTGGTAAGATCCAGCAAAAGAGGTGAGGAGATGGAATTGCCCACAAAAGCTGAGCACCCTGCCCATACTATCAGCGCGCAATGTGATCGATTCCTTGTAATTTTTGCTTGCATTCATTACTGATGGATCATGAACAGAAATTTTTTGAGTCCATTATCTTACAAATACCCTATTCAGTCGCGATATGTTCTTTTGATGGTGCCAGAAACTGCCTACATTACGTAGTTGCCTAAACAATTTGTACGGGTATGCGCTACTTCCCATATAAAGCGCGATTTACGATCCCAAGGTAGCTCATCGAAATTAATTTAGAGGGGGTCAGCGGTGCCGGGATGAGAAAAAACAGCAAACGGCTCAAACTCGAAAAATCAAACCCCTTCCTTGCCCGTTGATTTCCGCATTGATGCGACACTCATCGGTACTGCCCTCTTCAACACTAACGCTCTCTCTCTCTGCTAAGCAATCAGAAACTTGCGGCGATCTACTGACGTGCCGCGCTGATGGCGTCGCAAGGTGGTTTACGGGTCAGGGTCAACCGTTACGTTGGACCGATATTGGAGCGACGTTGGACCGATGTTGACCGCTCTCCGCGCCGGCATTCACTCTCGCCACCCGCGAGCCGTCTGTGTCTCCGTGCGTACGTTCACTCTCGGCATTACTCTCGTCGTCGCGTTGGACTTTGTCCAACGGACGGTTGACCCTGTTCGGGTGCTTGAATTTCGTTCTATGCCTGCCGCGAATAGCTTTGGTCCACGGGAGCTTCTCGCTGCCAAAGATGCCAAACGGGGGCTGCGTGAGCCAGGAGGGGTCAGGAGTTCAGGGCTTGGGGGGGGGGGCGTGAGCCACTTCTTCATGTGGTAAAAGTTGGAACTCACAAGGTCCTTATAGTCGTAAGCCACTATTCAAGCGAGAGGGAACACATAAGAGCAGCACATTGACTTCTTTCAAGGATCGAGTTCACGACAGCTCACGATGTACTCCACAGACGGCGGGTACGGCATGCAAGATCGTCAGCGGGTATATCCTTAGCTGCGAAATGGGTACAGGGTCAACCCTGCGTTGCGCAAATTCCAAAATTTTTAAACAACCAATTACCAATTACAATTACCAGTACCCAATCTGGTCCGCATACTGAGGGGTCCACCTGCTTTCCCACTACGTGAGGTTCCCCTCCTTCGAGCTTGGTTATCGTGGAATCCCACTTTGAATATGCACTATCGAAATAGTGCTACGTCATACAAGTCAGAACATAGACAGAGTTTTATTCAAAATTAGCTCAAAGGTCACGATAAAAACTACCCTGTCAAGATTGTCATTGTCAATTCCTTATTGGAAGTATTTCAAAACAGAATCCCATCACCTCCCCACGATGAATCGATAGCTTTAATTGATTCTATTTCAAATCCATTTCCAAGCTGTATGCCAACTGCTTCCTTTTTGCTGTAGTCCGTTGGACGAATGTTATACGACACAGTGGATTGCAATCGATCACAACAGCAAAATGAAACAAGTTAAATTTTATAACTATGAAATTTCAAAATTATTCACCAGTTATTTACTATGCATGATATGATTATTATAACCCACTAAATTAGTTCTTTTATACTTATCCAAAACTATTGCAATTCCTTGATGATGAATTTGTTAATGAACATAAGTATAAAACCTATTTTATGAAGTTTCGAAACGTTTTATAAGTTATCAGAGCTTCGTATTTTTTGCGATTTCGTGAGATGACCCTACTGGAAAATATGATTTGGCTTCATCGCGATCTAAATGATGGTCGGAGGTGCAAAGACACGTACTGCCACTTATTAACACGCACGCAGTAAGGGGATCAAATCGTGAACCGTAGCTGTGCAGGCTAACCAAGCTTTCCACCCTCCGGGGTCGGTTAATTGGTACCAGACTTGTCTGGGAGGATAAAAACACTGACTTGTACATCGGCTGGCCCCCGCAAGTCATTGTATAGGCCACATCGCATTCAAACGCCACTACGAATGTACAAATGGAAGTAGAATGCGTGCCGCATCCCAAAAAGGATTGATCAACGTCACATGGTTTATCTCTTATCCTTTTATTATTTAACATAACCCTAGTTCCAGCTAGTTATCAGTACTGTGTGAGAGGAGGTTTTTCTCATAGATCGATCGAGCTGATTCATCACCACCGCTATCGATTGGAATAACTATTCACCCAGGAATAAGTTTGTAATACTCTTTATCTTCAATCCTAAAAATCAGGTTCATCAAAAAGAGTTCCGAATAAATAGGCTCTCAAGGAAATAGGGTACATGAACATATAGGCCAAGGATTGTTGCGGAAAAGTTACAGTGGGACGAAGCCTCGAGATTTTTGTCCTTCTGTACTAATAATTTTTATCTTGGATACTGAAGAACCATTCTCATGAAGAAGATATTCAAGTAACTACGCTCTCTATGAAATTCGGATGCTAACTCTGTTTGGGCCAGCCGTTTATTAGAGTACTCTCGGAGTCTTTGGCCGGTGAATATGTCATTAAAATTCATTGGCAACTTCAAGCACAGTAGAGAAGTAGCAAACTACGTAGATCGGTTCAAAAAGCTGTCTGTTTAGCCCGCTTTGATCCAGCGCTATGAAGGGTGGCTGCAGGAATTCTATGAGAAGTAAAATTCTCCACTAGACAAAGCGCAAACCTGACGAATCATCGGCGGCAGCTTTGGCTTCAACCTCACTGTCACTGGAACTATCAGATGAGTCTTCGGAAGAATCAGAAGAGGAAGGTTCTTGCTTCTTCTTCTTGCCCATTACAGTGAGACTTCCCCTAAAATGTATAAGCAATTCAAGCAAGTAGTAAACGCTCAGCCACGAAACGAAACTGTCACTGCGGTAATCAAGTCAATTCT